ATCCTATTTCTAATTTACGTAAATGATATGTTTACAGGAGTGGAATCATACATGTCAATGTTTGCGGATGACGCAAAATTAATGAGAAGAGTTGTAACAGATGAGGATTGTAGGATCCTCCAAGACGACTTAAACAGGTTGCAGAGATGGTCAGGGAAATGGCTACTGGAGTTCAACACCAGTAAATGTAAAGTTATGGAAATGGGATCAGGTGATAGACGACCAAAAGGACAGTACACAATGAAGGGGAACTGCCTACCTGTAACGATTCGAGAAAGAGACCTGGGAGTGGATGTGACACCTAATCTAACTCCTGAGGCACATATAAATAGGATAACGACAGCAGCGTACTCTACACTGGCGAAAATTAGAACTTCATTCAGAAACCTAAGTGAGGAGGCTTTTAGGGCGCTTTACACTGCCTACGTGAGACCCGTCTTAGAGTATGCCGCGCCATCATGGAGCCCCCACCTGAAGAAACACATAAGGAAACTAGAGAAGGTTCAGAGGTTTGCGACGAGGCTTGTCCCAGAGTTACGAGGGATGGGATATGAAGAACGTCTGAGGGAACTGAACCTTACGACACTAGAGAAAAGAAGGGAGAGAGGAGATATGATAGGAACATATAAAATACTCAGGGGAATTGACAAAGTGGAAATAGATGAAATGTTCACACGTAATAATAACAGAACGAGGGGACATGGGTGGAAACTGGAAACTCAGATGAGTCACAGAGATGTTAGGAAGTTTTCTTTTAGCGTGAGAGTAGTGGAAAAATGGAATGCACTTTGGGAACAGGTTGTGGAAGCAAACTCTACTCATAATTTTAAAATTAGGTATGATAGGGAAATGGGACAGGAGTCATTGCTGCAAACAACCGATGGCTGGAAAGGCGGGATCCAAGAGCCAAGCTCGATCCTGCAAGCACAAATAGGTGAATAGGTGAGGTGAGTACACACACACACAGGAGGAGGAGAGACTACGGGAATTAAACCTCACTTCGCTGGATGACAAAAGAGTTAGGGGGACATGATCACCACATTCAAGATTCTCAAGGGAATAAGATAAAGGGTAGATAAGGGTAGATAAGAAAGGGTAGATAAAGACAGGCTATTTAACACAATGGGCACACGCACAAGGGGACACAGGTGGAAACTGAGAGCCCAAATGTGCCACAGAGATATTAGAAAGAACTTTTTTAGTGTCAGTGTGGTTGACAAATGGAATGCATTAGGAGGTGATGTGGTGGAGGCTGACTCCATACACAGCTTCAAGTGTAGATATGATAGAGCCCGATAGGCACAGGAAACTGTACACCTATTGATTGACGGTTGAGAGGCGGGACCAAAGAGCCAGACCTCAACCCCCGCAAACACAACTAGGTGAATACACACACACACACGCACACACTTCCACTTCCACACACAGGAAAGTGTAAGGTGATGAAATTAGGCGAAGGGAGCAGGAGGCTGAACACAAGGTATCATCTGGGAGGGGAAATCCTGCAAGAGTCAAATAGAGAGAAAGATCTGGGGGTTGATATCACACCGAACCTGTCCCCAGAGGCCCACATCAAAAGAATATCATCTGCGGCATATGATAGACTGGCCAACATAAGAACTGCCTTTAGAAACTTGTGTAAGGAATCTTTCAGAATCCTGTATACCACTTATGTAAGACCAATCCTGGAGTATGCAGCTCCAGCCTGGAGTCCATACCTAGTTAAAGACAAGACAAAGTTAGAGAAGATTCAGCGGTATGCCACCAGGCTCGTCCCGGAACTGAGAGGATTGAGCTACGAGGAAAGGCTAAAGGAGCTGAACCTCACATCCCTGGAAAACAGAAGAGTAAGGGGAGACATGATAACTACCTACAAAATTCTCAGGGGAATTGACAGGGTGGACAAAGACAGACTCTTCAGCACGAGTGGGACACGAACAAGGGGACACAGGTGGAAACTTAGTACCCAGATGAGCCACAGAGACGTTAGAAAGAACTTTTTCAGTGTCAGAGTAGTTAATAAATGGAATGCACTAGGAAGTGATGTGGTGGAGGCTGACTCCATACACAGTTTCAAATGTAGATATGATAGAGCCCAGTAGGCTCAGGAATCTGTACACCAGTTGATTGACAGTTGAGAGGCGGGACCAAAGAGCCAAAGCTCAACCCCCGCAAGCACAATTAGGTGAGTACAATTAGGTGAGTACACACTTCCACTCGTCCGCTCATCTGGTCGTCAACTAACGCGCTGAGTGAGTGCGTGTGAGAGACCCCCCCCCCCCGCAACCCCTCACAGGGAACATCAGAGTGTAAGGAAATTTGTCATGACTGTCAAAGGTCAACACAGCCGCTGCTGGGCGGACTACTGCAGGAGGAGCCTTTATCACTCCTCACAATGTGCAGTTTAAGTTAACAAAATATATGAGAGACAATACGAGAGTGTTACGGGTAACAGGGTCAACAGGAGACTCTCCTCCGTTATCAGGGGTCAACAGGAGACTCTCCTCCGTTATCAGGGTCAACAGGAGACTCTCCTCCGCTATCAGGGTCAACAGGAGACTCTCCTCCGTTATCAGGGTCAACAGGAGACTCTTCCGTTATCAGAGGTCAACAGGAGACTCTCCTCCGTCATCAGGGTCAACAGGAGACTCTCCTCCGTTATCAGGGTCAACAGGAGACTCTCCTCCGTTATCAGGGTCAATAGGAGACTCTCCTCCGTTATCAGGGGTCAACAGGAGACTCTCCTCCGTTATCAGGGTCAACAGGAGACTCTCCTCCATTATCAGGGTCAATAGGAGACTCTCCTCCGTTATCAGGGTCAACAGGAGACTCTCCTCCGTTATCAGGGGTCAACAGGAGACTCTCCTCCGTTATCAGGGTCAAAAGGAGACTCTCCTCCGTTATCAGGGGTCAACAGGAGACTCTCCTCCGTTATCAGGGGTCAACAGGAGACTCTCCTCCGTTATCAGGGTCAACAGGAGACTCTCCTCCATTATCAGGGTCAACAGGAGACTCTCCTCCGTTATCAGGGGTCAACAGGAGACTCTCCTCCGTTATCAGGGTCAACAGGAGACTCTCCTCCATTATCAGGGTCAACAGGAGACTCTCCTCCGTTATCAGGGTCAACAGGAGACTCTTCTCCGTTATCAGGGGTCAACAGGAGACTCTCCTCCATTATCAGGGTCAACAGGAGACTCTCCTCCGTTATCAGGGTCAACAGGAGACTCTCCTCCGTTATCAGGGGTCAACAGGAGACTCTCCTCCGTTATCAGGGTCAACAGGAGACTCTCCTCCGTTATCAGGGGTCAACAGGAGACTCTCCTCCGTTATCAGGGGTCAACAGGAGACTCTCCTCCGTTATCAGGGTCAACAGGACACTCTCCTCCATTATCAGGGTCAACAGGAGACTCTCCTCCGTTATCAGGGTCAACAGGAGACTCTCCTCCATTATCAGGGGTCAACAGGAGACTCTGCTCCGTTATCAGGGTCAACAGGAGACTCTCCTCCGTTATCAGGGTCAACAGGAGACTCTCCTCCGTTATCAGGGGTCAACAGGAGACTCTGCTGCGTTATCAGGGGTCAACAGGAGACTCTCCTCCGTTATCAGGGTCAACAGGAGACTCTCCTCCGTTACAGGGGTCAACAGGAGACTCTCCTCCGTTATCAGGGTCAACAGGAGACTCTCCTCCGTTACAGGGGTCAACAGGAGACTCTCCTCCGTTATCAGGGTCAACAGGAGACTCTCCTCCGTTATCAGGGTCAACAGGAGACTCTCCTCCGTTATCAGGGGTCAACAGGAGACTCTCCTCCGTTATCAGGGTCAACAGGAGACTCTCCTCCGTTATCAGGGGTCAACAGGAGACTCTCCTCCGTTATCAGGGGTCAACAGGAGACTCTCCTCCGTTATCAGGGTCAACAGGAGACTCTCCTCCGTTATCAGGGTCAACAGGAGAGGCTCCTCCGTTATCAGGGTCAACAGGAGACTCTCCTCCGTTATCAGGGTCAACAGGAGACTCTGCTGCGTTATCAGGGTCAACAGGAGACTCTGCTGCGTTATCAGGGGTCAACAGGAGACTCTGCTGCGTTATCAGGGGTCAACAGGAGACTCTCCTCCGTTATCAGGTCAACAAGAGACTCTCCACCGTTATCAGGGTCAACAGGAGACACTCCTCCGTTATCAGGGGTCAACAAGAGACTCTCCACCGTTATCAGGGTCAACAGGAGACTCTCCTCCGTTATCAGGGTCAACAGGAGACTCTCCTCCGTTATCAGGGTCAACAGGAGACTCTCCTCCGTTATCAGGGTCAACAGGAGACTCTCCTCCACTATCAGGGTCAACAGGAGACTCTGCTGCGTTATCAGGGTCAACAGGAGACTCTCCTCCGTTATCAGGGGTCAACAGGAGACTCTCCTCCGTTATCAGGGGTCAACAGGAGACTCTCCTCCGTTATCAGGGGTCAACAGGAGACTCTCCTCCGTTAACAGGGGTCAACAGGAGACTCTCCTCCGTTATCAGGGTCAACAGGAGACTCTCCTCCGTTATCAGGGGTCAACAGGAGACTCTCCTCCGTTATCAGGGTCAACAGGAGATTCTCCTCCGTTATCAGGGTCAACAGGAGACTCTCCTCCGTTATTAGGGTCAACAGGAGACTCTCCTCCGTTATCAGGGTCAACAGGAGACTCTCCTCCGTTATCAGGGGTCAACAGGAGACTCTCCTCCGTTATCAGGGTCAACAGGAGACTCTCCTCCGTTATCAGGGGTCAACAGGAGACTCTCCTCCGTTATCAGGGGTCAACAGGAGACTCTGCTCCATTATAAAAAGAAAGCTACTGAAGATCTCTCGGCCCCTCGAACCAGCACCAGATTATATCCACTTCATTCATATATGTCTAATTTATGCATGAAACATTCCACGTCTATTATATGACCTGTTGAATTGTTATATCAATAAACATGTTTCGTAACCAGTATTTACCCAGGGCTTTTCTGACTCTTGCAGTACTCGGGTCTGTGGTTCGACATCCAGAGTGTCCCTAACAAGTACCAGTACACCAAGATGTGCATCACTCAGACCTACACCTGGACGGGTGAGTGTTCCCTGGCGCCCACTGACCCACACCTGGCACCCCCTGAACCACACCTGGCACCCCCTGAACCACACCTGGCACCCCCTGAACCACACCTGGCACCCCCTTGATCCACACCTGGCACCTCCCCTGACCCACACCTGGCACCCCCTTAATCCACACCTGGCACCCCCCTGACCCACACCTGGCACCCCCTGAACCACACCTGGCACCCCCTGACCCACACCTGGCAACCCCCTGACCCACACCTGGCAACCCCCTGACCCACACCTGGTACCCCTCCCTGACCCACACCTGGCACCCCCCTGACCCACACCTGGCACCCCCTGACCCACACCTGGCACCCCCTGACCCACACCTGGCACCCCCCCCTGACCCACACCTGGCACCCCCTTGATTTACACCTGGCACCCCCCTGACCCACACCTGGCAACCCCCTGACCCACACCTGGTACCCCTCCCTGACCCACACCTGGCACCCCCCTGACCCACACCTGGCACCCCTTGACCCACACCTGGCACCCCCTTGATCCACACCTGGCACCCCCCTGACCCACACCTGGCACCCCCTGAACCACACCTGGCACCCCCCTTTGACCCACACCTGGCACCCCCCTGACCCACACCTGGCACCCCCTGACCCACACCTGGCAACCCCCTGACCCACACCTGGCAACCCCCTGACCCACACCTGGCACCCCCTTGATCCACACCTGGCACCCCCCTGACCCACACCTGGCACCCCCTGAACCACACCTGGCACCCCCCTTTGACCCACACCTGGCACCCCCCTGACCCACACCTGGCACCCCCCCTGACCCACACCTGGCACCCCCCTGACCCATACCTGGCACCCCCTGACCCAAACCTGGCACCCCCTGACCCACACCTGGTACCCCCCCTGGCCCACACCTGGCACCCCCTGACCCACACCTGGCACCCCCCCTGACCCACACCTGGCACCCCCCTGACCCACACCTGGCACCCCCCTGACCCATACCTGGCACCTCCCCCCCTGACCCACACCTGGTACCCCCCCTGACCCACACCTGGCACCCCCCCTGACCCCACACCTGGCACCCCCCTGACCTTCACCTGGCACCCCCCCTGACCCACACCTGGCACCCCCCTGACCCACACCTGGCACCCCCCTGACCCATACCTGGCACCTCCCCCCCTGACCCACACCTGGTACCCCCCCTTACCCACACCTGGCACCCCCCTGACCCACACCTGGCACCCCCCCTGACCCACACCTGGTACCCCCCCTGACCCACACCTGGCAACGCCCTGACCCACACCTGGCACCCCCCTGACCCCACACCAGGCATCCCCCCTGACCCACACCTGGCAACCCCCTGACCCACACCTGGCACCCCTCCCCTAACCCCACACCAGGCATCCCCCCTGACCCACACCTGGCACCCCCCTGACCCACACCTGCCCCTCCCGACCCACACCTGGCACCCCGCTGACCCATACCTGGCACCCCCGTGACCCACACCCGGCACCCCCTAACCCACACCTGGCACCCCCTGACTTACACGTGGCACCTCCACCCCTGACCCACACCTTGCACCCCCCTGACCCACACCTGGTACCCCTCCCTGACCCACACCTGGCACCCCCCCCCCCCTGATCTACACCTGACACCCCCTGACCCATACCTGGCACACCCCCTGACCCACACCTGGCACCCCCTAACCCACACCTGGCACCCCCTGACTTACACCTGGCACCTCCACCCCTGACCCACACCTTGCACCCCCCTGACCCACACCTGGTACCCCTCCCTGACCCATACCTGGCACCCCCCCCTGATCTACACCTGACACCCCCTGACCCATACCTGGCACACCCCCTGACCCACACCTGGCACCCCCTGACCCACACCTGGCACTCCCCCTGACCCACACCTAGCACCCCCTGACCCACACCTGGCACCCCCCTGAACCCACACCTCGCACACCTCTGACCCACACCTGGCACCCCCCTGACCCACACCTGGCACCCCTTGACCCACACCTGGAGCCCCCCCTGACCCACACCTGGCACCCCCACTGACCCACACCTGGCACCCCCCTGACTCACACCTGGCACCCCCCCTGACCCACACCTGGCACCCTCCCTGACCCACACCTGGCACCCCCCTGACCCACACCTGGCAACCCCTTGACCCACACCTGGCACCCCCACTGACCCACACCTGGCACCCCCTTGATCCACACCTGGCACCCCCCTGACCCACACCTGGCACCCCCTGAACCACACCTGGCACCCCCCTGACCCACACCTGGCACCCCTTGACCCACACCTGGCACCCCTCCTTGACCAACACCTGGCACCCCCCTGACCCACACCTGGCCACCCCCTGACCCACACCTGGCACCCCCTGAACCACACCTGGCACCCCCCAGACCCACAACTGGCACCCCCCTGACCCACACCTGGCACCCCCACTGACCCACACCTGGCACCCCCCTGACCCACAACTGGCACCCCCCCTGACCCACACCTGGCACCTACTGACCCACACCTGGCACCCCCTTACCCACACCTGGCACCCCTCCCTGACCAACACCTGGCAACCCCCTGACCCACACCTGGCACCCCCCTGACCCACACCTGGCAACCCCCTGACATACACCTGGCACCTCCCCCCCTGACCAACACCTGGCACCCCCCTGACCCACACCTGGCAACCCCCTGACCCACACCTGGCATCCCCCTGACCAACACCTGGCTCCTCCCCCCTGACCAACACCTGGCACCCCCTGACCCACACCTGACACCCCCCCTGACCCACACCTGGCAACCCCCTGACCCACACCTGGCACCCCCTGACCCACACCTGGCAACCCCCTGACCCACACCTGGCACCCCCCTGACCAACACCTGGCACCCCCTGACCCACACCTGGCATCCCTCCTGACCCACACCTGGCACCCCCCCGACCCACACCTGGCACCCTCCTCTGATCCACACCTGGCACCCCCCTGACCAACACCTGGCACCCGCCCCCTGAACCACACCTGGCACCCCCTGACCCACACCTGGCACCCCCCTGACCCACACCTGGCACCCCTCCTTAGCCAACACCTGGCACCCCCCTGACCCACACCTGGCCACCCCCTGACCCATACCTGGCACCCCCCCAGACCCACACCTGGCACCCCCCTGACCCACACCTGGCACCCCCACTGACCCACACCTGGCACCCCCTGACCCACACCTGGCACCCCCCTTACCCACACCTGGCACCCACTGACCCACACCTGGCACCCACTGACCCACACCTGGCACCCCCCTTACCCACACCTGGCACCCCCCTGACCAACACCTGGCACCCCTCCCTGACCAACACCTGGCACCCCCCTGACCCACACCTGGCACCCCCCTGACCCACACCTGGCAACCCCCTGACATACACCTGGCACCTCCCCCCATGACCCACACCTGGCACCCCTCCTTGACCAACACCTGGCACCCCTCCCTGACCCACACCTGGCCGCCCCCCGACCCCACACCTGGCACCCCCTGACCCACACCTGGCACCCCCCTGACCAACACCTGGCACCCCTCCCTGACCAACACCTGGCACCCCCCTGACCCACACCTGGCACCCCCCTGACCCACACCTGGCAACCCCCTGACATACACCTGGCACCTCCCCCCCTGACCCACACCTGGCACCCCTCCTTGACCAACACCTGGCACCCCTCCCTGACCCACACCTGGCACCCCCTGACCCACACCTGGCACCCCACTGACCAACACCTGGCACGCCCACTGACCCACAGCTGGCACCCCCCTTGACCCACACCTGGCACCCCCTTACCCACACCTGGCACCCCCCTGACCCACACCTGGCACCCCCCTGACCCACACCTACGCACCCCCTGACCCACACCTGGCACCCCCTGACCCACACCTGGCACCCCCCCTGACCCACACCTGGCACCCCCCTGACCCACACCTGGCACCCCCTGACCCACACCTGGCACCCCCCTGACCCACACCTGGCACCCCCCTGACCCACACCTGGCACCCCCTGACCCACACCTGGCACCCCCTGACCCACACCTGGCACCCCCCTGACCCACACCTGGCACCCCCCTGACCCACACCTGGCACCCCCCTGACCCAGTCGGTCGGGCGGGGAGTCGGTCGGCCGAGTGGACAGCACGCTGTACTTGTGATCCTGTCGTCCCGGGTTCGATCCCGGGCGCCGGTGGGAAACAATGGGCAGAGTTTCTTTCACCCTATGCCCCTGGTACCCAGCAGTAAAATAGGTACCTGGGTGTTAGTCAGCTGTCACGGGCTGCTTCCTGGGAGTGGAGGCCTCGTCAAGGACTGGGCCGCGGGGACACTAAAACCCCGAAATCATCTCAAGATAAGCTAGGACTCCTCCTTGTGGAGTGGGATGCTCCAGCCGGTACTGGTGTGGCTGACAGTGTGACACATGCTGACACCCGGTACTGGTGTGGCTGACAGTGTGACACATGCTGACACCCGGTACTGGTGTGGCTGACAGTGTGACACATGCTGACACCCGGTACTGGTGTGGCTGACAGTGTGACACATGCTGACACCCGGTACTGGTGTGACTGACAGTGTGACACATGCTGACACCCGGTACTGGTGTGACTGACAGTGTGACACATGCTGACACCCGGTACTGGTGTGGCTGACAGTGTGACACATGCTGACACCCGGTACTGCAGTGGCTGACAGTGTGACACCCGGTACTGGTGTGGCTGACAGTGTGACACATGCTGACACCCGGTACTGGTGTGGCTGACAGTGTGACACATGCTGACACCCGGTACTGGTGTGGCTGACAGTGTGACACATGCTGACACCCGGTACTGGTGTGGCTGACAGTGTGACACATGCTGACACCCGGTACTGGTGTGGCTGACAGTGTGACACATGCTGACACCCGGTACTGGTGTGGCTGACAGTGTGACACATGCTGACACCCGGTACTGGTGACTGAC